ATATATTCTTTGATTTGTTGGGTTTGTCAGGAAGGACAGCTTTTCTATTTTGGAATATTTTATGAATCTTTTGTTTCACATTGAATATGAAATAATCAGATTATTGAAAGGTTTTGAAACTATTTCCAATATATTTCTCCTTTTTGTGTCCACTGGAAATCAACTAATAAAAATGACCTAATAAACTTCTATTGTCATCATAACAAAATAAAATCTGGAATGATCATTGGCTTCAACTTAAGAGTACTCAGAATTTGCAGCCCTCAATGTTTACACCCAGTCTGATGAAATTCTAACAGATGAAACATGTCGCAAATAAATTTTTTCTATTTTGTCTTACATACACATATATATTTGTGTCTATGTATGTATGTGTGTGTGTGTGTGTATATATATATATAAACAATTGAGTCTAGCATGAAACAGCCTGTTGCCTCTGAGTGTTGACTTCAATGTTCACTTTTATATTTACATACACTCTATCCCTGATATTGAGTACTTTATTCCATAAATATAGCATACCTTAAAACTATATTTATATATATATATATATATATATAAATAAATCACACACATTAAGTGCTTGTGTTAATAAAATAGTGCTTAATGTAAAATAACAGCTATAAATTATATATTGAAAATAAATATACATTATTTCTTTTTTAGCCAGTATATTTTATATTATATATATATATATATATATATATATATATCTCCAAATGAGAGAAAAGAACAGATAGAGTAAAAATTCACAGTTCACAGCATTTACTTAAATAAAAGTTCAATACAAAGAGTAAAATATTAATATAATATTTTTATTATAGTAGATTACAATAAAAACATTTTACATCATTACACAAAAGCTTTCATGTTTCAGTACTAAGATTGTAATTCCTCAGGCAATGGTAGATAACTTGTGATAAAAATGATTTATTAGAGAAATTTAAAAACAAATCGTTACCTCTTTTTGGAAGTTAAAGGTGGGGCATTAGGTCAGAATTAAAATTATGCTAGTATGTCTAGATTAACCAATTAAATGTCAGATCTATGCTAAAATATAAAAATAAGGTCAGAGGTTGGAGGTGGGTAGGTTATTTTTATATGTCAAGAAAAATTGACGATTAGACATGTCATCCAACAATACTAGGAAACATTGTAGTGACAATTGTATTATGGTTGTAGCCAAGTATGATGTGCCGGTTTGTTGAAGTAGACAAAGTTATCAGAAACAAAACATTTTTTTTAAAAAAATTAAAAAAAAAATTTTTCTTTTAATATACTCAAGAAGCTTCTTAAAGTGGCCAATAGATAAAATTAAAAATGTGGAACATCTAAATATGTTGCTAATTATAGTGAATAGACGGTAAAACATGGCAATATTAAAGTTGAATAAATCAAATAAATATTGGGTGGACCATTATATGCTAATAAAAAAATAATGGCTTTCCAATTGTAATATGTAATTATTTATAAAAAATTTTTTAATTATATTTTAAGGTAAAAATTCATTTCTTTGGTTTAACATTTTTTATTGTTAGGAAACTTTATAATATACAATTTTTCTTGTAAAAACAGGGAACATGGATCATATAAGGATTTACAAGTTATATTTTTTTTGTATGCACACACACACACATATATATATATATATCTGCAGACATATCACACTGAAACAACAATTCTGATCTGTGGGGGAGGGGGGATAAAAATGTTGTCTTTTTGTTTTATCCTTTCTTTTTCCTATCACACATGGTAGCAGAGTTGGGGAGGCAGTTTGTCATTTCAATTAGACTTTTTTTTCAAAAATTTTATTTAATAATTTCAGTAAAGTGACCAAATGATAATGTAGCATTTTGTCTTGAGATGATTTTGTGGTGTCACTTTTCTCTAGGTTTAAGATTGTAGCATTCTTTGCAATGGTTGTCCCAGAAACTAACAACAAATTAGATTAAGGACAAATCCTATCAAGCTGGAGTAACTTATCCAATAGGTGGATATTCCAGCTAGTGAAATTTTTCATTTTTTTTTTTTTGTATTTTCTTGTTCTAGTAACATTTATATATTATTACATTTTCTCACTAAGCATTATAATGAAGCAAAAACAGAATTCTATACTAAAAACAGGGAGGAAAAAACCCCGGAATTCTATACTGAAAACAGAAAAAAAAAACAAAAAAAAAACACTGGAATTCCTTAAAAGAGAAAACAGGTCCTTCTATATACACATATAAACATGCATGAATACAAATATTCATAAATACATTTTATATAACATGTCAGAGTTCAGAATGTTTTACAATGTATTCAGCTTAAATAGTTGAAAGCCACTCTGATTTTAAAAGGCTGTACCTATGTTTTTTTTTTCCTTATACAAGTTGAGAAGTTGTGAAATTGACCTTTAAAAGGCTGGCAGTAAGAATGAGTAATGTTTAAATGGGAAAATTTAACAGAAAAAATAACAATAACGTCAAAAAGAAAATTTGTCAGATTGTGAATTCTTCCATTCTGGCAGACCACAAAGCAAAATCGAAATGAAGAAAGAGAGCTTGGAAAATGTGATACTCACAATGACAGATTGAAAACAAGAGGGATAGAAAAAAACAATGCATAAAATACTTGAGCTTGACTAAACGAACAGCAGAACAGGGTTTGGGAGAATGAACAAAAAGACAAAATTTATTAAGAGCTATAAAGGACAGAAAAGTAGGGAGAGCCATGATTGCTTACATCCTGAGGGAACATTGCACATAAAGTTGTATTAATGCCCTGATCTTTTTAATTACTATCATAACATCATTGCTGCTGTACCCCCCAAACTTCTTCGGGTGACACTCGATCTCAATAATCTTCAAGGGAATTTCAAACTGAAGCCTTTGTTAAATACATGGGGGGGGGGGGGTAAATTGTCCATATCTAAGGGTATCTTATTCTATTTTAGTACTGCTCACTTACTGCTCATCTTGTTTCCATTGAGCTTGAGTTTGTACTATTCCGCCCAGGGACTGAACTCACAGCTAATACGCCACCAAAATTCACATTTGCAAATTTGATGAGTTCAATCCTTAGGCTGAGTATTGCATATTCCTTCAAAAGGAGGCTGTCTAGCAATAACTAAGCAGTATTAAAAGAAAAATAACAAAACATAACATCTGTAGACATAGACAGTGGAATAAGAACAATCTATCACTGTAGATTTAATAAAAGGTTCAGTTTGAAATTCCTTGAAGGTTACTTGGATCAAGTGATACCTGAAGAAGGTTAGAGAAAAAAAAGACCAAAATGTGATAGTAACAACAAAGACAAGGACATTAGCACAACTATAAATAATAAAAGTTGTATGTCTCATTTTTAGAAAGCGTATCATTGCACCATGATTCCTACATGCCATATATGAAATAGATGACTACTAAAACAATTAAACTTATGAAACTGTTATAATTACAACAGTTTCATTAATAACATTTCACAGCATATTCATATCTTTGGAACATAGCACACCATAGAAAAGAAATGGGATTTCACCAGCACAATGCCAAATATCTTGTTATTATCTTTAAACATTTCATCCCAAGCAAGGCAATAAACTCACTAAGACAATAGGGGTTACTGAGTATTAGAGAATATGAGAAGAAAAAAAAATGTTAAGGAGAGAGAACAATAAAAGAACAGGAATTAATGGTAAATTGTATTCAAGGATACCCGTCTACTATAGCGGCTAGGTAATCCCCATTGTAGACTCCTGCTCAGGCACATTTTTGTGTTTGTTCAATACCCACAAAGCCCAACTGTGGTTTATACTGCAACTATACTGAGCAGAACTTAGTTACAGTTTCTGGAAGAGAAGCATGTTTACCATGATCAACAATCTGAACAAGGCCAACACGCCCAAACCCTCGGTCACAATGATTTGTGACTTTGTGCTAGCACAGCCATCGACAGCCCCCGAGGGTTCTGTCTACCCAATTTAACTCACAAGGCTTGGGTCAACCCATGGTATGGTCTCCAGACACTTTCTAAAGGTGCTGCATGTTGGGATTGCCTCCTCCAGACTGATAACAACCACAAGTCACCTTCCTGAAAAATTGACAATGATTAGATTCGAACCACGGGTGTTATGGTCAGAAATTGAACATTCTAATCATTTGGCCATGTGCCCATAAAAGAACAGAAATTAAGAAGATAAAAGATAATGATTGACATTCCATTTAAATGTTTGAAGATCAAAGTTAACTGGAAAGCAAGAAATTGTAAGAGAGTTCCATAAGCAAGAAGCGTGAGAGAAAAAAACTGTTAGCATAGAACTTGCGGTTACATCTAGCCATTTCAACTGTAAGATGGTGAGACCTAGCTGACAATCTAGTAGTAAGCTTAAATTCATAAAGTCTAGGTACCATAAAGGAAAGTTCATCAGAACAATTACCATGAAAATATTTACAGAAAAGCCACAGAGAAGCTATGTGGCAATTGTGGAAAAGTGACGGAAGCTGAGATGCCAGGTCAGAACTGATAACATTGCGGATTCTTTGTATTTTATCTAGAATCTCTAAATACATAGCAAAAGCACCAAACTGGATGTGGCAGTAATATTCAATGAAATATACAAATTTGTATATACAAATATATTATGAATATAGATCTGCCTTTTTATATGAATAGGTATAGTAGGGATAAGCCTCAAGGTGACTGGGAAAAAAAATGCCACCAACTTAATGACAACCTGAATTTCATTCATTGATACATTTTTACGGCTTATCAACCTTTTTGCAGGTTATTTAAAGCCAGAAAATATTTTTAGATTGAAAGAATTTTTTTTTTGAGATAATAAGGGTTTAGCAATACAAGTCTTACTAATTAATCTATAGCTGGAGGGAGAAGAGGTGGATTCATAATTTTCCCAATGGTATTTGCATATATGTGAATATAATGAACCCAACTAGGAACTCTGCTCTCCAATTAACAATTCTGAGCCATTATCTACTACACCACCTGCACATCCAAGCTTTCAGTACCTGGTATTCTGAAGTGCTCACCTATCTAGGTACTGACCAGGCTCAATATTGCTTAACTTCGGTGATTGTATGGGAACTGGTGTTTCAACATGATGAGACAGTAAGCTTTTGAATTTTAGACTGGTTAATGTATATAATATTTATAAAAAAAATTTTTTTTTTTTTTTTTTGCTGAATGTTCTTATGTGGATGCATCTATGAAAATTACTCTCATTACATGATAGCATCTCAATAGATATTCCTTTGATATAACAAAAGAGGCAAATACCCTTTTAAAAAGTTGCTGCTCATGCCTGGTTTAAGCGTGGATACACCCTATAAAGCAGAGAAGAGGGAGCTAGGAGAAAAAGAGAGAGGAATGGCAGACAATGTCTCCTCCTCATCTCCCATCTCTGAAACATTGACCCAGCTCCCACCCCATTGCATGTAGAGAGCATCATTTAATACTTCCTGTATTCTCAGATATTAGTGTCAATGTAGCCTTGATAAGAGATGCTGCACTAGCTGTTACGACAGCAGCCAATAGTAAAATCGGCAAGAATTAGTATATGCAATCCCAGTAGAGAAGAGGTGATACAAGCAGGTTAGGATGTGGGGTTTTAGCAGATCTCACCCTACAACAATTAACCCCCATGATAAGGCAAAATAATGGAATCCAAATGTGCATATGCATGCACAAACGTTCTCTTGTTCTCAAACACTAGGCAAACTGGTTGTTTGGGGACCCTAATCAAAGTCAGTGGGGAAGGAACCTAAGGTGAGTAGGTGTGGCTATGTACCCTCATATTCCAATTTGGAGAGCGAAACGGGTGTGGTTATGAAATGAACCAGTGAAATTAAACTAATTTTAACAAGTGCAAGTTCTTAGAAAGATGATGGAAAAAAAAAAAAAAATAAATAAACACACACGAATGTACTGTAGGTGTTGCCTATTTACTAAGCTTTGCTTAGTCTGATAAACTCATTCAGAAATATCTATACTGTTAGTTGAATACAACTGCTTTCACAGATCAACAATTAAAAATGCCCCCGAGCCAATGAAGCCTGTAGGTTTTAGCAAGGACTATCCTACTTTAAACCTTGTAGACTGGCACTACAGAATCACAAACAAGTGTACCAAGTAACAGAAACCACATCACTTGAGGACTTTCAACAGCAGCAACAACTAAAATGGATAGCACACATAACTCTAAGAGAAAATAATGACATAATCAAAATGTTGATGTACCACACTACTTCAAACAAAAGGTTAGATAAGAAACCTCCATCAATGCTGGAGAGAGTGATAACAGTTGCTGGAATTGAGAAATCTATTTTCCTGAAAAATTGTTTTAAAAGAAAGATTTTATAAACTTATAACTTCCTTTATAAGGAAACGACTAACATTACCATACAAAGCCTCAGATTGCTTACAATAGCAGGTGTTTCTAAGGGATTACCTATCACGATACTGGTTCAACTCACTTAACTTCATTGATCAGATGAGAGTAGATGCTGACAGTGAGACTTAACTGGACACCCACTTATCCTACATTTTCTACATACTGTTGCAAACCAAAAAGTGAATATTGTTGCTTTCAAGGAACTGTGAATATAGTTTGTGGGCACATAATGCTTTATATTTCAATAAACATTTTTGTCATTTGACAAAAAAAAAAAAAAAAAAAAAAAGCCTTTTTAGTGATAATATCAAATATATTTAATGATAATGATTAATTTGAATAAAATATTTCAAGTCTGCAGCTGTACAGACTACAGAAATGTTTCATTTAAGAAAGAAGCAGAAAAATGAAATTTTGCAAAGTTTGCGGAGATGAAATTGTATTTACTTTTGTAGATTTTTCTTCTTATTGGTTAGGCATCGCCCAACGAAGATGGAGGAACAAACAGCAGCACCGAGATCAAAGACTGGATCATGATGGTTAGACTTCCATGTGGGAACACCACATATACAGAATGAATGCAGCCGAGACATTGGAAACACAAACAAGGATGAATGCCTTTCAAATGACACTGCGTAACGCAACCAGAACTTCTTGGTAATACACTGTGACCACATTATACAGCAAACTGCATCTTTAGCAAATGTGTCTGCTTTTATGGAGCCCGAAACTTTAGCAGTTGGATAGCAAAGGAAGCATAGCTAACACTGCTCAATTCACTATCCTGACTATCATGGGGAAGCTGGTAGACACCTTCTTTGTAACCAGATGTTCCAAGATTCACATCAGCTCTGTTCTGGCAGAGCAGCAATATGCAGTCTTTCTACAGAGACAGCACATTAAACATTGTGTCTTTAACAGACGGGGGTGGGTACCAGTATCAATAGCAGTCAGCTGTTCTGCATTTCATTTCTGCTACAATTTCTGCAAATTTTCATCACTTGTGACAACATAGCCCTTTGCATAGCCAATGAAAATTTATACAAATCCATAATTTAAAAGAACAATTGTTTTATGTAGAATGATTTTGATTGGTGTACTCATCCAGGTTGTTATAATCATAATGTTTCAGCCATTGTACTTTTTGGCCTTATTCAGGTGCCTATTATATTCAGTAACATTCTGGGACTTTCGAAAAGAATACTTTATTCAATTCCCAAGGATAAATTAATGTCTATGCTCAGGGATATTTTATATCTTGTAAGAGTGGATTCTTAGTTAATGTGTACTTGTGATTCCACTTCGGCTTATTCTACTTCTGGAATCATGTATTCAACTCACAACCACATACACTTAACCAATGTTTATATCCACAAATTTGGTATCCTTTAGAATAAACAGCAAATTGAGAACTTACTTCCATAGATTAAATGTAGGGTTCATTTCAAAATTCCCCAAAATGTTACTCAATAGATGCTTGAAAAAGGTCAGAAAGTAAAATGGCCAACAGGTGATCATAACTAAAATGAGGTCAACAACATATTTTGGTCAGTTGATTAATAAAAAGAGAGAGAGAGTGTTAGTGTTGAGTCTTCCGATGGCAACTTCTAGGGGAGCAGGTTTAGCTGATATGTGTGCAAATACATTATTTATAGTCAAACTAAGGTCCTCATCTTTGTTGTTACTATCATGTCTGGGCCTGTTGTGCACTCCTTCTTCAGGTGTCTATTAATCCAGATAAACTTCAGGGAATTTCAAAATGACCCCTTTACTTAATCTACAGGAGTAGATTGTTCTCATAAAAATGTATGTTGTGAAACTGTATTTATTACTCATTCTACTCCCAACACTCTGAACAAGCTAAACACAAGGTATAGTAATACTAATATTAGCTGTTTCTCTACAAGGAAGCATTTAGTATTTATTAACAGAGCAGCCAGCACTATTTTTGATTGAAATTTATAAAATCTCTTTAAACACTTAAGAAAACATATTTCTCAAGTCCAGTAGCTGTTATCAATCTTTCCAGTATTGTTGTTGGGGGGGGGGGTCCTTCTGAACCTTTTATTTGAAGTAGGTGTGAAAAGTTAACATTTTGATTATGTCATTATTTTCTCATCAAGTTGCATGTGTAATCCATTTTAGTTCTTACTTCTCTTGGTAGTCCTCAAGTAATGTGGTTTCTGTTATTTGGCACAGTTCGTTTGTTTGTGATTCTATAGCCCCTGTCCACAATGCTCAAAGCAGGGTGATCTTTGCTAAGACCCTTTACTCACTCAAAGCCTTTTTACACCATTGATTTTAGGAAACAGTTGTATACAGCTGACAGTTTTCTGAATAGGTTTGGCACCATGCATGACATCCATATGAGTCTCGATCTGACAAGGTTATTTAAGAACATGACTAGAGTTTTCAGGTTGATGTTTTGGTTTTGTAGCAATTTGTGGTGTTTGGTGAAACTACTTCTGGCACAACCTTATAGAAAAAAATCTCTTGTCTAATGTTTGTGCCTAGAGAGATAAACAACTCTTATTATGAAAAGTACAAAACAATACTGGGGACAAACAGGATGCCGTATGTGGAATTATAAGCTTAGCTGTAGGTAAATGCGCTCTTGTTAGTGTCTCTTCTCCCTCTCTGGATTGGTCAGCCCAAATAAATAATGTTCTTACTTCTGCTGTCAAAGTTTGATGTTCCACTGATCAGAGACAATGATGAGTACAATTTACAACATTATTGTTCCATTCTATACTTTATCTTGCAATCAATAGAAACAATATTCTTGTAAACTCTAAGTATGAAAAAAGTTTCAGAATCATCCTAAGTTATTTAGATTCTGAGATGAACTGTTTCCTTCATCTTAATTTGCATTTTATCACAATATCTCTCAAGTGCTTAAGCTACAAGAAATAATAATAATAATAATAATAATAGCTCTCAACAAGACTAATTCATATTACCTAATCCAAGAGCTTGTTATTCATGGATGATACTTTAACCAATAAAATTATGGTGACCTCCAAAATCTAGACATTAACACTCAGATCCTTAGTAAATATATATATGGAGATGATAGCACTGTGTAATAATGCACCTCCAAATATCTAGATGGCCAGTACCTGTTAACTGATTTCTCCTCTGATCTGACTCTCACAGCTCAGAAAGGGAAAAGACTGGCTGATATCATTTAATACACCCAAAACTAAACTAGAAACATTTCATCATCACCAAGAAAACTCTAAACCTGCACCATTCCTGATGATTGGTCATACTCTTAATAAGACTCCTTGTCTTGAATGCCAACTGGCATGTTGGATCCAGTTCAAAAATTAAAACACAGCAAGGTGTTAATATGTAAATTGATTTGGATCTGTAGTGGTTCCAATATGAAGCCATGGCGGTAGCCATATTGAAATATTACCTGATTTAAGGACAGATATTTAATAAATTTGATCTTGCTTAGAATAAAAATTGTGAATGAGAAATTGTATAATATCAATTGTAAGATTCAGGAGAATGTCTTTAACTGAAAAAAGTTCCCTTTTTAGTTAAGATTGAAAGAATTCCTGGCTTTCTGTGAAAGAGAAGTCGTTAAATAATCCTAAAACACAGAATATTTACATAAAAGAAAAAGGAAACAGTAAGATATTTAAGTTCAGTTTTTATTCATTGCTTAAATATTTTCTTCAACAACTTTTATTGCTTTT